GCAGCTGGTGAAGGTCTGATCTTCTGCAGACAGGCAGTATTGTGTGCAAATATGGTGCAAGCTATTAACAGTGGAGTACGTTTCTCATCTGCATTTCCTGACAGTAAACCAAAATGACTTAATGAGACAATTAGGGTGGGATGGAGTAATTCAACGTGACTGAATGCCACATTGTGGAGATCACTTGCTAATGACAGGGAGGTAGGATAAGGAAAGGGAAGGATCTGAGGAGTATTTCCCTCAGAGTGAAAAAAATGCTTCCCCCTCCTCTCATGAGTAACTCAAGGCCAGCTCTTTTGGCAGTGTCTCCAAGTCTCTATACATTGACCCTCCTCTGCCCTTTTTTCAGCAAAGGCACAAGGAAGAAGAAGCACCTTTTGGTCCTTGTCCTTCACATGCCCAGTGATTTGCAGGAGATGTGGGTTCAGTTCCTTGTTCTATCTCCTTTCTGTAATACTCTTGAAAAAAACCTCCTCTCAAAGAGCTGCCTGTCAAACAGGAGGAAGGCAAAGGGTGATTGCTGTTTGCCTCCATTCCTCCTTTCCCTGTATTCTTTAGGATTACCAAAGTGTTTTACTGTCCATGCTCCCAGCACAGTCTGGACATTTCACCGTAGGAGCAGTGACTGAAAAAGAGACGTAGAGACCAATGGCCAGGGCTCATCTCTCAGACAAGTGCTCTAATAATTAGACACCTTGTCAGGCTTGTTCTTCGGGCTCCTCAACACTTGTATTTTTGGCTGCCCAATGGCTTATAGTGCATAGATGTGACTTGGATGCACTGCTGAAGCCTAAAACTGGAGTTACAGATTTTAGGGTGATGGGGAGATTGAATTTGTGTCCTTCTCCCTACTGCTGCTTGCAGGAATTCTCGCACAAATGGCCATCCCCTCTGTACATGTGAGTAGGGCTGAAATCCTTGCACTGGGATGTGTCTGAGGGCACCTTGTGGAGGGTGGTCAGGCCAGCCCAGGTCCTGCTGGAGGGAGGTGGAGAGCCATTTGTACAGGGGCCACCTGAAGAAAGAAACTAACTTCTGGGGCATGGGGGAGCTTTTAGGTTAGGCAGAGGCACAGGTGAGTCTCTGCACCCACTCAGCAAGGTTTTGTGGGTCACTGTTTTGGACTTGGGCACTTGCAGACTCTCTAAGTCCAGTTACAGGCACATCACTGTGAATCACAGCTGTTGTTTTCCTTTGAGAGGTGTTCCTTGTCCTTCTGCATGAGGAGATGAGCTTGCAGGTGGAATAGCAACGTCCTTGAAATCCAAATCAAAAGTGTCATCCAAAAGATACATGTTGGTTGCTTGAAAACATCAGGAGTGTCAAAACTGCATCTTTCAGGCCTGAGTCATGCCTGCCTGCTAATGCCATGGGTGAAACAGAAGGACACTGGGACAAGAATTAGCAAGGGAGGAGCACAAGGGCAGTATCCAGTGATGAAAATTGAAAGGAGCATTAAAAAGAAAGTTCTCAACATCTTCCTGAGACTAGTTCAGACAGGAGTAATTTCACCAGCTCCAGGGAATGCTGCCGTATGTCCATGTCAGTGGGGAGCCTTTGGCTGTGGCACTGGCCAAGTGGCATCTGCAGCAGCCAGGAAGACTGACCAGAATGTAACCTGTTTGACTCAATGTCTGGAGGTCAGGAAGGACACAAGCTTCCTTGTGTTGTGCTTCATGTTTTGGACTTTACGCAAACCACCTCTTCCACAGACGTAAACATTCAGGAGAAGTAGATGCAAACTTTCCAGATTCTCTTCTTCTTGCGGTTACCTCCCCGCTGTGGCGTGATGGGGAAGGGACAGGGAGGTTGCAGGGTTACGTGATTGACGGGTACTTGCTGTAAGTGTTCCTCTGCTGTGAAACGTTTCTGTCCCCCAGTTATTTCTGACGTCTCCTTGCAGATAGCTCAGCTGAGCACGCAGTGAGTTTGGGACTGCTAATACAGTACGCTCACTTTCTGGGAGCAGCTGATAATGTACTCATGCTGGGTTAAGATTTTCCAGAAAAGAGGTAACATTTGCAGATGGTTTGGGCTGACTCCTTTGGCTTCAGCTTTTTTACTGATAGATGAAAGCAGTACACATGACCAAGCTATGGAAAGCTTTAAAAAGTGTCCTCCCTTACCCTGCTTTTTTAACAGTTCCTCCGTTGATAGTTTCTATCCTTGTCTCTTGTGTGACTACAGTCGACACCAATCCTGTTCTTCAGCCTTCCTCGTACCTTTTCTGCATCGAGGAGCTCTGTGCACTCTATCATCCTCTTCTCAGCATACCCCAAAGGGATCAAGGCAGCCCTTCCAGACACAGGTTTTCAATCTTTTTTTTCCTCTCACACAAGCTCTCCCTTCCAGTGGATTCACTTTGCCAAGTGATGGTTTCCAAAGAATCTGTTCTAAATTTCCAATATTTAACATCAGATTTTCTAGTCTTGGAAACACTAGGTCGTTGCCAACCCAAAGTTTAGGGATTGATTGCACAAGCAGACTAGCTAGCCATTCTGAAGGGACAATAACTCTTAAGAGCCAAGCAGTGGTGAGCAGTTGGCAAGTGATGAGGAACAACAAGATGATCCTTCCACTTGCACTGCCATAACCAGAAGAGACCAGGAGTGAAGGAGAATCACCTACTTACGGACCATCTGCATGATGATGCTCAGCCTGGACTTCCTTTCTGGTCAAGGGTCCACTGTAGCCATGGATTAAGGGTATGATTTATCTTACTCTAAAGTTTTTGTCTAAACAGGACATTTGTTTCCCAAATTAAATTAAACTTTAGACTTTTTGACTTAACTGAATCTGTCCAAACACGATCCTATCCTTTACATTACGGGTGTAGTTCTGCCTAAGGCACAATCACTATCATTTGCCCAATGTCCTAGTTAACAAGCAAAATCACCAGCAAGGCAGCCCAGCTGTAAGGGAATTGCAGCCCTTTTCTTTCAAGGATGGTTTTAGTACTCAAAACCATAAACTTTCACTCTACAGTAAATTGGCCAGATAATGTAATTCCACAGCAGCCCATCCCAACCCAACCTTCTCCTCCCCTCCAACAGATCAACTGTCGGCCTTTACAAAGTGATAATAAAAGACCACACAAAGATAATTGTTCATAATTGTCAGGGAGGAGCTTTGCCAGCTCCAGAAAGGCCCTCAAAGTATGCTCTGGTATAGGAACCAGGCCAGCCAGGTGCTGTGGAAGATGTTTGACCACCCCAGCATGTGTTGGTAATTTAAAGCAAATGTCAAGTGTTGGTTTTGGAAAGTCACTGATTTTTGAAGACTGAAGTTTGTTTTTTTTTTTTCTCCAGCAGCTGAGTGTTATCATGACTGCCCTGGGAAAAAAGGAACATTTTCAAACTCTAATGAGCATCTGACGAATTTTGGATGATCCCAGGGCAGCCATGCTAAAAATGTGCAGGGTGCATGCTGAGTTGTGTTTTTCTGCAGTGTTGGCTTTGAATGAACTGGGCCCTTTAATGGTGAAATTGCACCAGTTTAAATGAAAGACCAGATAAAATGGATGTTTAAAGGCAAGTTTCTCCTACTCAGATAAACAGTGGGGATATTTTGCACTTACGTGCTTCTTTTCAACAAAGTTCCTTCAAGATAAGTACAAATAAAATCGATCTTGCACATCTGTGATACAGGAAACGATTTTTACCTGTTATTTACAGTTTGAGGTAAGGAGAAGTTAAGCCATTTGTTTTTCAAATTCCTGTGATTATAACTATTTTTTGGCATGCTTGTTATAGAAGAAGGTTGAATATTTTTCACGTGTGTTGCCTTTTCTATGTGTGCCCTGAGATGGTGTTGGTAGATGTTTGCAAAATGTTAACTGGTCTGTCTCCCACCCAAGAAAATGCAATGACACTTTCTCAGTTACGGACTTCAACACCATTTGCAAACACTTTTGCTATTTACAGTGTGTAGGTGCGATCCAGAACTTAACTTCTCTTAAGTTTGTCAGCCATCAGGCCTTTGTAGATGTGTTAAGTGGCCCGTGAAAGACAGAAAGGGGCTGTGCATGCTGCTGGGAGCTTGCCTGATTTCAGCACAGTTTGAGGGCATCTGCATGCTCTCAGGGGCAGCGTAGGGGTGTCCCAGTTACTTACATTCGTTTAATAACCTCGTCTTTTGAATGCACCACTCTTTCTGGATTGCCTTGTGTGTGCATTTTGCAAACTTGGTGAGACTTCAGGGCTCATTTCCACCAGCTGAGGGGCAAAGATGGAAATGGGGAAGGATGCTCTTGAAAGCAGTGTTTTGAATTCTTACAGCAAAGAGGATCAAGACTACACTTGACAGGGGTAAGGATGGAGTATGGGTGACACAAGACTGCTCTGAAGCTTTGCTTTTTGCCTCCCTAATTTGCACTAGTGTGAATGAGAATAATATATGGGATTTAAAATTTAACCTCCTCTCTTTTTTGCAAAGGCTTTTTGCCTCCCTAATTTGCACTAGTGTGACTGAGAATAATATATGGGATTTAAAATTTAGCCTCCTCTCTTTTTTGCAAACTAAAGAATAACTATTTTGGTCCCTGCCCTCCTCTTACTGAAGTCACCTCTCATTTTCCTGTGAGGTGATGTTCACAGGGAGTCACAGCTCTGCTCTCCCCACTCTCAGATGGGGCCAGAGATAAAATCAGGGATGCTCCAAGGGCTGCAACCAAACTCTTGGCAGTGATTTGTATCTCATAAACTTGATATCACAGTATGGTATCTAGTGCATATTCTGCTTCTTTGTTAAATAAATAACA